ACGGATCGCTCTCCTTCTGCCTCTAGGAGAAGCTAGCCGCCAAGAAGAAGCGGAGAAAGGAGCGGGAAGCTCTCGGAGACAAAGTAAGGGCTCCGGCCGCAGCGTGCCGCGGCCCGGTGTGGCGGCGAGGCCGTCCCCGCTGCAGGGAGGCGGTGCTCCGCCGCGGACGGGGAAGAGCTCGCCTTGGGGATGGTTCTTCAGCTCAGCCTCCCGCTGGGGCTGCTTCCGTTTCGTGAGTGAAACGGTTTCTCCACAGCCTTCGGTGGAGCAGTGATCTCGGCGCCCAGCGGCCATGGTAGTCTTCAGAGGCACTGTCTGTGTTGGGCAGTGGAGGTACCAAACAGCTGAGCTTAGACACGGTGTTGGTACTGCGTTCAATGACGCTGTAATGGGGCAGGGGGGGCTTTATGCTAATAACGGCATAAAAGCAGGCCCTCCCTGAAAAGTCTTCTCTGTCCAGTGTAATTGCTGTGGTATTGTCTTGATGTTATTAGGCATTATACTCTAATAAGCAATTTCTATATAAATTAAAACTATCAGGTCTGACCAAAGGCCAGTTGTCTGCTTGTGTTCAAGCCTAGCCACAACAAAGGATTTTTCCTTCTTTTCCTGAAGTACTTCAAAAACGATCATGATAGTTGAAGATACTCCGTTGTGAATTCCTATTACCATAATTTTACAAAAATAGTGTAATTAAACAGGGTAAACATATGCTATTAGTCATTAAATTGTAGATGTCAAGGCTAAAATGTGTTGCTGTTGAAAGTAGAGCTTTTTTCTTCCACAGAAGAGAAGAGAAGTGGATATAATGTCCCCCTCTTTTTTTTTTTTTTTTGTTTTAAAGCCCCATTTCTTAATTAGACTGCAATTAAGCAGTGTCACTGTTCTAGTGATGCTTCTCCATCTGATGCTCTCTGGTGTCCCACTACCCATGCATATTTTTAATCAAGGCTATGTTGTAACTTCTTTCTTAAAAGCTGGCATGAAATAAATAGTACTTCTAATTCTATGTAGAAATATACACAATATCATGATAGTATGAATGTTTTTTTCGCAATACACTTTGAAATTACATGAATGTGTTAATAAACTTACTTATTTTAGGCACCTCCAAAAGCCGTACCAAAGACTATTGAAAATCAGAGAGTGTATGACGAAACAACTGTAGATCCCAATGATGAAGAGGTAACTACTTAATTTCTGCATATGCTATTAAGTTAACCATTTTTTTTCCAAGAAGGGACATAAAATGGATTGATGAAACTTAACATTCAACACCCTTCTGTTAAGGTGTTGATGAATTACTTTTCGCATCACATGTGATGGGTTCGTGAAGAAATGATGTCATTCTTTCATTATCTACATTAGGTAATTGCCTTTTGCATTACTGTTATTGATAACAAAACCCGTCAATCAGTGTTCGTCACAGTAGATTTTTAAAAATGTAAAAACCATATGCCTTATGATGATTAATTAAGGATAGATCTTGTGAATTGAAATTTTTCCTACAAATTCAATTTAATCAGAATTTAGATCACATTGAACAATTGTTCTTCAATTATTTCATATATGGTGGAATCACAAGACTTTTGTTCTTCCAGGTTGCTTTTGATGAAGCAACTGATGAATTTGCACCATACTTCAACAGACAGACAGTTCCCAAGATTCTTATTACAACATCAGATAGACCTCGTGGGGTACGTATGCTTTACTTGGAGAGTTCTGAGCGATCAACTGGTTAGAAGGTACCAAGGTTTTCATAATATGATTGGTAAATTAAAGCTTAAAATAATAGCTTTGACATTTCACGTGGATTTTTTTCTGCTGTTTTATTTAGTGACTATCAATAACCTTGTATATGTATGTAATCTTATTAGTTTCTCTAGCACTGTTCGTTTCCTTCATTAAAAAAAAGCCCAACACAACAAACTCATGCGTATCTTCTTCTATGCAAATGATCTGCATTACCTAATTGGGGAGATTACCAACATAAAAGAAGTGGTTTTAAAAATAGGAAAAAGTACACCTCAAACAGTTCATCTGGAAACTCAGACATTAGTACCTGAAGTCATAGTTATATTGTATTTTGAAATCTTATGAACTTTTTGTAAACCAATGTCCTTAATAAATAATGAGTCTGGGAGTTATGCTTTTGGAATTTTCCTGCTTTTCTATGGTTGGGGGGGGGGGAAGAGGGGGGGGTAAATCTTTTTTTTTTTAAAATTCCCTGGTGTGCTGCAGTCTTTATGGGAAATAAAATCACTGGAATAAGCAACCCTCTATTCCCCTAGTATTTGAATTTGGCACTGTATTTACCACATTGCAATTTAACTCACCTGTTTTGCAGAGAACAGTGAGATTCTGTGAACAACTGTCTACTGTTATACCGAACTCGCATGTCTACTATCGAAGAGGACTGGCTTTGAAAAGAATTATTCCACAGTGTATTGCAAGGGACTTCACTGATTTAATCGTCATTAATGAAGATCGCAAAATACCAAGTATCCTTTTGTGTATTTCTTAAAATAGATATCCTAGCTCTGGGCCTACTAGGGAAAAAAGATAATTCTGTAGTGTGCATTAAAGATCTACTTTATTCTGACTTTTTTTCTCTTCACTGTGCAGCTTACAATGTAACTGCAGAGTTAAAAATCACAGTGCCAACTTGAATATCTGATGGCTAGTGGAATTTGGAATTATTAAAGAAGGTGTATAGGCTATTTTTTTTAGTTTGTAATGCATGCATAAACATTGTTATTTCAGTAAATTTAACAGTTTGATTAATTAACAAGTTTTTCTAAGCAGGAAGTGCCATTTAGTTTTGCTGACTAGATAGAATATTACTAATTAATAAGTGAGAAAGTGATAGAAGATAACTCTAGCTAGCTATTGAAACAAAATTTAATGGACATACTTCAGAACAGTAACTGGTTTATGAATATACATTTGAAAATATAATGAAATCTTGTAAATCAGGCATAGATTATGGATACAATATTCTAATGTGATACTGCGTTTCGCAGAAAATGTTCCTCTGTAAACTACATGTTTACATTTTACCAGCCTTTTTTTTTTTTTAACTCTGTGAACAGATGGTCTCGTTTTAAGTCATCTGCCTGATGGTCCAACTGCTCATTTTAGAATGAGTAGTGTCCGTTTGCGTAAAGAAATAAAGGTAAGGCTCCAACAAAATTAAAAAATGGGTGGTCTGTTTAATGATAAATACATTCAGTCTACTTGAACTGTCAAAACTGGTTGTACTTTAGTATGATTCAGCTGATTGTGTAAAGGTGGTTTTTTGTAAGCTAACAGGAGGCCAAGGACTAGTATATTCTACTTCCATAAGCAGCGTGTTTCCGTTTTCATAGTTATTTGCTGAATTTCTTTAACTGTCTGCCAAATATTTTTATAGTCATGCCCATAAATTGCAGCTGATAACTTACATCAATAGGGAATACCCAATGTGTAGCATACACACAACAGGGTATATAAAAATCAGCAGTATAAAAGATTTCAATAATAGGTCTTGAATAAAACCTAGTTATTCTTACAGCCCTGTCACCTCATCTTTAGTAAATATTGCTTACTTAGTCCTAAATAATTTGCAGTAAAATGTATTTTTTTTTCTCTTTTGAAATAATTAATTTTTAAACTTCATCTGTTCTTACTAAAGAAGAATCCCATATACTCTTAGTGCCTCACAGAGAGGACTCCTGTGGTAGGTAAACTGCATTATTTGCTATAAAGGATGCAGCCAGGAGCGGAAACTGGTGCAGGAGAGAGGGAATGTAAAAGTATTTGTGCTTTTTGTTCAATTCATAGTGTTGAACCAAAGATCCTTATATTACCAGCTGCTCCTTTACTTGTATACCAACTTAGGTTGTGTTTGGAAAAAATGATTAGGGCATGTTATCAGAAGTTAAAAGAAATTAACTTGACTCTGGTTGTTTTCCCCCTATTTTATTTCAAACTCTTCTTTGATAATATATTAAGTCACTTTGCATTCAATCTATTATTTGCATTCTTATCTACCACTTTCATTTCAGCGAAAAGGGAAAGAAATGCCGAAATACAACACGACTCGGACATTCTGTTGGTCGCATGTTTGCTTCTCTCTTCCCACATGATCCTCAGTTCATTGGAAGACAAGTAGCTACATTTCACAACCAGCGGGACTACATCTTTTTCAGATTCCACAGGTGACATTTTCCACAAAACTCACAAATGAGAGAGAACGCTCTTGTAACTTACTTCCTAATATTTATTTTTATTTCTTCCCCAAGATATATCTTCAAGAGTGAAAAGAAAGTGGGAATTCAAGAACTTGGGCCACGTTTTACATTAAAGCTGAGGTCTCTTCAAAAAGGAACATTTGATTCCAAATTTGGAGAATATGAATGGATTCATAAGGTATGTCTAAGTCGTGATAATAGTCCTGCTTGGGAAGAGGGACTAAATCTCACATAAAAAGTAACCACAAATCTTAGTCTAAAAAAGCAGTATAAATGCAGTTCTCGATACGGAAGTGTTTAACTGAAATATTTAGAGGTATATTTTGAGAAATATGCAAAGTAGCAGCATTCTGCTATATTGCAAGTCAAAAATAAAAATAGCAAGGATGATGAATCTCAATATACTGTGACTACGTATTTGCAGAATGTAATTTCTTTAATATACACAGATATAAGCAAATGTGAAAAATGCTAACCTGGTATAAGCTATTATTGAAAGCCTAGTAAACTTGACTAGAGCTATTTTTGTGCAAGGTGAGTGCAAGGATCATAATGTAAAAATGATTAAGCTATTTACATAAATGTCACTTATTAATAGTGAATGGAAATACTGACCTCTGTGCATCTTCAAGTGAAATAGACATGTTACTCTAGGCAATGATAAGCTACTTTTCCAGTCATTTTTACCATAGAATTGCAGTTGATTGGAAAAACTTAGAAGTGAGTATCCAAGCTATACCAGAACGAAAATTCTAATGCTCCTGGTGTAGCCCCTGAAATAGATAATCTTGTTTGTTATAAAGACACTTTGCCTACTGTCAGAAGACAGAGAACGGCTACCTGTTCTTTAGTTCCAAATTGCTATTCTCTAATTCTTTTCCCTTGTTAGTCTTGAAAAGCTGACTGTAAAGACTCAACTACACTGTAACTGTGTCACATTTCACTGCCCACCGTCCTGTAAAAAGGGTTGTCATCCTTGTTTGTATCCTGTTGCGTGAATTTGCTGGTTAATAACTCTTCTTTTAAATTTCAGCGCCGAGAAATGGACACAAGTAGAAGAAAATTTCACTTGTAAGGGACAGCTATCTGCCAGTTGCTGTTGACCAGAAATACAAAAACTGCTTTGAACTGTGGATTATCTCAGACTGCCAACTAATGATAATGATACTGAACAGTATCTATCTGCATAAAGACAAATGGCAACCATTAAAAAATTCTACAGGAGCAGATCAAGTAGGACACATCCTTCTTCTTATGTTTGTAGCTAAATCCAACACGACAAGGACAGTGACTTTTTTTCCAGTTTTGCAGGAAAAACTATGGCAATGTCAGAACAGCCTGTAATTTAGCTATCACTGAAGATTTGCCATGACTGCTGCTGTGCTGTAGAGATAACTTACCCTTTGCAACATCAAAGATAGTAAATATTTTAATTAAAAATATTTTCAAAATAAATTATTTCTACTTATACAGCTTTTTTTCTGTTAGGCAGCTAAACCCAGACATCTTCCATTAATCAGGTAAGAGGTAAATATTTGAAACTTCTTTGTAACTTAGGGAACAACTGTTCCCTGATAGTATAGTGGCAGTTTTCGAAAAATGGTCTCCTATGTAGAGAACACTGAGAAGGCTGTATGCAATCCAGGAAATCTGTGGTATTTTCTTTCATTAGCATCTTGCAAAAAAATGTTGAAGTTACAAGAATAACGTGCTTGACTCCTACAGGTATCTCTCCTGTAAATGTCATACTTAAAAGTGGTATATACCCAAAGCAGTTGATACTTGTGTATATAAAAAGAAATAAACACTGATGTGGAAGACTTCATAGGCCAGCTTACAGGAAGCACATAAAGGTATTTCATCTAAAAATGCTGCTCAGTGAACAAGTGAGGTCTCTGAGCAGGGTTTTTCCCACTAAAATCTTCCAAATGCTTCTTCCGCTTCATAGCTATACTCAAGTTGGTAAATAAACTACTGTTCTGCCTTAAGTTTGCACCTTCACTGGCAGCTAAAAATCTAAGATGGCTCATAGAGCAAGTCATCTACTAGGGTAGAATTACTCTTTAAGATAAAGAATAACTAAGTTACTTTTTGTCTTTAATGCCTATGATATGGGACAGCTGTATACTTGAATTACAAACTAACAGCCACAAACTTTTTTTTTCTATTATGGTTCTATGTGTAGTACTGATGAAGCCTCATTGTTCTGTAAGACTACCAACCCCACACAAACTTGCAGCACCACAGAATAAAGACAGACTCCTGTATATGCTCTCCAGCTGCTGCAGAATGATGCAGTAACTGAAGTTAATCAACAGTAATTCCAAGACCAGACTAAGTCAAGACACTTTTTATTTTTTGCTTGGCATATAAAACCGATTCCCTTATGAAACAGAAGTATTGTAACTAGCATACAGTTCATTTGGAGAGGTAGATGGTAAGAGGTTTGACGACAGTAGCAATTTTACAGTTAGATTTGGCACGTTAAAGCTAAGCTTCTGTACAGGCTTCAAACCAGGCCACTCCTTGAGGCACTCTGCCTCTACACACATCAGCAGCTAGGAAAAGATGCTAAAAGATCTGAAAAACAAAACCAAAATGTAGTTAGAAAAGTATCAATGCTAAATGAAGCAACTGTTTGTCTAAGAACATGTACCTTCAGAATATGCCATGGACAGGTATTTAGAAAAAAAACCCCTCTTTTTCCACAGCTGTTTTATAAAACTATTAGTTGATAAAATAAACTTTTTAATTAAAACCAGCAAGCTATCCCCAATGGTGCAAGAAGATAATCAAAGCTGTTACAAAAGAACTGAAGCTTAGTGTCTCCTGGAAGCCAAATTGCTAAGTGGAAGGATGGAAAAAGTTGTTCCCAGTCACTCGGTGCCTACAGAAACACCAGGCATCTTCTTTGCCTTTGAGAAGAAGGGGGAGTGTGCGTAACTGACAAATTGCGCTTCCTCTTCACTCCATGGAGGTGGTGCTGACTGTGCAAATATGAACTCTATTGGCTCATCATGTAAACACCAGGATTAGAACTAAGAAACTTCTGAGTTTGAGGAAGTGCTTGCAAGAGAGACAGCGAAGGAAAGAAATTTTCTGTATAGGTAGTGTAACTAAAAACACTGTTTTAATGACTTTTGCCTGTAACATCAGCAGAAACAAGTGCTCTGTTCCAAAATCAGAAAGGGCCGTAATTGAGAAAGAAAATATTAAGCCTTTTATGCCCTGTGTATACACATGTGTGTGTGAGACAGAGGAAATGTTATTTCCTGACATCCACACCCAGGAATTAGTAGACCTTGGCAAAGCTCACTGGGGAACTGCATGTGTCACTGATTAAAGTACAGTTTATTTGACATTTAATAGGTTAAAGGTTTATAGGTATAATGCTTACAGATTGTCTGATTTCTTCCTTGAATTGCTGCTTAAAGCGGAAGCTATAGTAATGTGAACACAAGTCAGTGTCCAAGAATAATATCTTTTAAATAAGGATAGTTGATAAAATTCACAATAGAAATAACTTTAAAAGCTACAAGAACTCTAAGGCACATTTCAGTTACACTGCTGTCATTCATTGCTCAAAAGAATGTGGGAAGTGTTTTAATTTTTGTTTGTTAAATAGTTAAGCATCAACCTCTATACTGTTATTACTCTGGTCTTTACTAGCATGAACCACCTTGTTTATACAAAAACTTTTTGGGAAGCTTTCTACAATCTGCTTGAGGGGAGAACAATTTTAACAACTCTGACTGTGGTCGACTTTCTATAAAGCTGCCTAAATAACACAACTTAAATCTAGGAAATTGCAATTCTTTGGGTGATGTAAGTCAGCTACAAAACCAGAATTCTTCAAGGTTAAGACTCGGTATGAGATTTCTAAGGATTGTGAACTATGGTCAACTGCCTATCAGGTGCTTTGAAATAACATACATGCTCTCACCCCCAACGGATCCAAGTCAAGGAAGAGGGACATGGTAAAATTACTGTGCATCTACTCCAGGCAAAATATCAAATTATTGTGGCTCCCAGAGTCTTGGTGAGACTACTGTCGATCTAACACTCACCTTTCTAAATAGGTTAGTCTAAAATCTAATCACCAGAATTTTCAAGTAATGCCAGATTAGTAGTCTTTGTAGTGACAGCAGTAGTGCTAATGAACCTATAAAAGTTTTGGAATGAAAATCCAAATGAGTATTTAGCTCTTTCTAGTTATTTAAACTGCTACCCATGTAGTAGCTTATTTGAGTGGAGTGATGCAGTTCTTGTATCACTCCATACTTTTTGCTTTTGGCTTAGAGGCCGTGTCCTGTAGGGGACAATGCTCTTTGAGACCACCACTAACCTATCTTTGGAAGTGCTGTTTAAAAGTTTAAGAACTAAAGTCTGTTTTAATCTGCCACAATCAGGATTCACCGTGTACTCTCAGGCGAGTAATCCTGAGTGAGAAAATGGAAATAACGCCCTTAAATGGAAGGAGATACAGCAGAATTACTGTACAGCCAGGTTAGTCCAAATAGCAGCTCAGTAGCAGCTGGCGCCACTATTCTGCTGCAACAGAAACTGGTGGAAGCTCTGCAACAGATGCTTCTCATAATACTCAAACAGCATGTGTCCAGTACAGAGCTACCACCAGAATAGGAGGGGCCCAAAATGGGGATCTTCACCAACACCAGCTGCAGAAGTCATCTTCTGAATACTTTTAATACAGACAGTCTCATTTAAAGCCAGCTATTTTTAATGACAGAAGAGTTTATGAATTGTAATTCAAGAACTTACCACTGAAAGATACCAAAGTAGTTCACGTAATTACAAAAATGAACAAACTTTCTGGGGTCTGAATGGATTTGTACTTGATGATACTCCTGTCAGTAGGGGATCATGTTGTGCATTCTGCAGGCAGAACTGCTTCAAGTCTGCTGCAGCCTGAGAAACCTAGTCAGAATAAAAGTTGGTATTAGAATTCACTGAACGCTCCTTACTGAGAATGTAGCTGCATGGAAAAGTAAAAAGAATACTGTTAAAAGATTCTGCAATACAGCTTGCGTAGATTTTATACGACAGTTTCATCACAACTTTTTGGTTTCTTAAAGACAAGAAATTGTGCAATATTAGAATAAGAATTAATTCAGAAAGTTTTCACGTTAAACTTCTGAGCATGAAGGGTGAAAGATGAGCAACATCTTGGAGATGGCTTTGTTAAATACAAGTATCTTGTTCTAGCACAAATAGTGTAAAAATACAGTCTAGAGTTTAAGATGCTCTGCTTGACTAAACTGGCATTTCATCTTCCCTCAGAAAGCTGTCCTTATGATGACACAGTGTATGGGGTTTTTGGTAGGCAGTACCTACCTAAAAACAGAACAGTGAAAAAAATGTCTTGCTTTTCTTTGCTGTAACTCTGAACTCATAAAAAACCAAAACAAAACAAAACAAAACCCAAACCAAAAACGATCAAAGTTTCAGAAAGCAGCTGGTGTCTTGTATTTGCAGTTTGCCCAGAGTTTCTCTGACTGGGCAGGGCCCAGCCTCAAGTTAAACGCGCTCGGTAGTTCTTATGGCCAAGTCTCCATGTTGCAGTGCCCGGCCCAGGCCGGCCAAGACAACCTGTTGCAAACCCCGACTCACGCTGCCCTTTTCACCACCGCCTGATGGAAGAAGAGGATCCCCAGAATAAGGAAATGAAAGGGGAGAGCGGGGCGCCTCCAGCCCCTCTCGGGGGAGCGCTTCGACC